GATGTTTTCAGGACTTTTCAAACACTAAATCTAAGCGATTGGTCGTTGGACAGCACGGATTTTTCAAAAATTTGCCAAGAAAGTACAAAAAATTCTTGAGTGCAGCCCATCACATCACTTGAAAGAGAAAATCTGCGGCTTTAGATGATGAAAACCTCATTTGAATAGGAAATTGCTGGGAATTTCCAGGATGTTTTCAGTAACTAAGTAAACAGTAGATAGACTAATTTAAAAACCTTGTCAAGGAAAATTCAAAAATTTCTCAAGCCTGCCCAGAATATCCCTCGAAAGAATAAATCTTCGGCTTTAAATGACGAAAACGTCACTTTATTAGGAAATTGCTGGGAGTTTCCAGGATGTTTTCAGTAACTAAGGAGAAGCGAGTGGTTGCTGGACAGCACTGATTTTTCAAAAATTCGTCAAGGAAAAACCAAAAATTCCTGAATGCTGCCGATAACATTACTCGAAAGGGAAAATCGGCTGCTTTACGTGAGGAAAAACTCACTTGATTGGAAAATTTCTAGGAGTTTCCAAGATGTTTTCAGTTACTAAGACGAGTAATTGAGATTGACCGTTTTCAAAAAAGCCAAAATGAAAAGTTAATTTGGTTTAATATGGAATTCGACAAAGAAGACACGGAAGACTCTAAAATATTTTATTGGAAATTTTCTTTTCAAAATTGAACTTTTTATGAAGAAAAAACTAAAAAAATCGTCCGACTACAGCCCGAACGAGGGTAGTAGGGAATTGAAACTGAGCACTTACACCTGTTGAGAATGTTCAAACTTCTTTTTAATAGCCGCAATTCTCGCCTTCAAATTGGTTGTCCATCTAAGAGCCCCAGTTACAGGAGGCACATAGTTATCAACGATAAATTCCCCGTATTTCCTCTTGCTGCTCATTTGCTGTTCAAACGCGGCCTACAAACGCAAATTCAGCCAACGCGAAGTGGTATGAAACCGCAATCTACCTCGATCAACTTGGCTTCATGTTCCAGCATATCGACAATTAAAACAAATTTCTTGCTGAATTCGCTTTTAATAAAGGGCCGTTCTAACAAACATCCGGCAATATTTATTAACTTAAACATGCTTTCCAAATTGGCGCAGTCTTCAAACGCTTGACACAAAATAGCAGCTAGTTTCATGTCCATTTCAAATATCTTCTGTTTGAAAAGTTGAAAGTCTTCTAAAAACGATAAGTCGTCGGGATCCAGAACGTCGTAAGACTTCCCTGCGAATGTAGAATAACATTGCTGAAATTCACTGTAGACTGTTATGACCCTCGAGCTGAGAGTGCGACCTTTGATGCCTCCAATTTCGACTTTTTCAAGTTTGCTGAACTCCAGGACTGTGTTGAAGAACCACTGAATGGTTTGAAGTCTCTCCTTAAACGCGTCGAGCCGTTCGAAAACCATTTTGGCATCAAAGTTCCACAAGCGTGGCTCTCTGCCGTGGAAAAACCTGGCTAAATTCAATTTGTATATTTTGAATAGGCTCATGAACTGTTTCATTGTATTGATGCATAAGCCAACGCGTTGCATCGCCTCATCAATATCACTGTGAAATAAGGTAGTAGGATCTAGAAATTTTTTAGCTTCGAATATCAGGAGATTGCAAATTTGCTTTAGTAAAGTTATCAGCTTTACTTGATCGTAAGAGTCACATGTGGCCCAAATGAGACAAACCACATGCATAACTGGAGCTAGTAGTGGTATACATTCGCTGAAGTCGGTCTCTTCTAGTAGGGATATATGCTTTATTAAGGGAGTGAGGTGCAGGTGAATGTCTTTGGCTTCAGCTAATGCGACCACGACGTTTTTGAACACATTCTTGAAGCACACATAATAGGCGCTGCTGGTTTTTTCCAGAATGCTTGCCATGCTTCGCACCCGCGACTCTTTCAGTTGCTCATAGATGCATTGCAGATTTTTTTGTCGTTGACTCCAAAACTGGATTTCTATGAAAACGTTGCATTTCGTTAGGAGGTGGATTTCCGCAATTGAGGCGCACCTACCCACCGAAGGCAATGCGCTCACAGCATTGTCAGCAAAATCATTGGCCAACACATCACTAATTTGGGAAGCCCACTTCATTACCACTCCTTCAATTCCACTTTTTAGATACAAGTCGCAGATCTCTCCTTTACTCTCAATAAGAACTTTTTCTACCTCATAGACCCGCTCAACTCCCACAGGCATGGGGAGTACAGTCTGTCCATTCACTTGCCCTTTAACCTGATACACAGTGCTTCGCAAACTGTGAACGTGTTTATGAACGTCTTTGGCTATAACTGCTGGCCACTCTCCATGATTTTGCGAGTTGGAGAGGAGCGGAACTAAAACCTAAACCAATTTATCAAATAGGAAGTCAAAGCAGTTATGGAAACTACTTCGTCCACAAGGGAAGCCAATTGGTCAATCAGCTTTGGCGAAAGATCTCCCAGAATGACGGAATCGCCAGGGGAAGTCTTCGACACCGGAGCCAAGTCCTTTTTGATAAAATACACTCCTGAAATCGCTAGTTTGAATAATGAAAATCACGCAAACCTCAGCAAACCTTTAGTTTTAAGCTGCGTGAGTGGAAACCCGTTTGAGGGCACCAGTTGGGCAGCAGGTGTTAAAATAATCACCAGAACAAACGGCGCCGGCCTTTCCAAAAATTTCATTACCATCCCTTTGTAATCTTCCGTAACCATCATTCGCGACCATTTTTCGGGTTTTAGCTTTAGAGACTTTTGAACGTAAGTTCCTAAGAAGTCCATGCGCCGGTCCACTAGTGGAGCCAGTGCTTGGTCCATCTCAAACTACCTACATTTAATAAACAACAAAAATACAGTCCTCAATAAAATCTTCAAAACGTGATTTTTTTATATACAGGGTGATTCATTAAGGATGGGAAATCCGTGACCATTGCCGCAAGGATGTTTCAGGGTACAGGGTGTTTGAAGTCGTAAATTAAATTCGTTGTTTGGCCATTATTATGAAAACCTTTGCGCTATAGATTTGAAATGTTGTGACGATATGTTTATTTGATTTTTTAAAACAACCAATCCGGAATCTGTTTAGAAATTTGAACAATCATTTAGAAGAAACAGGACTCTCCAGTGTGAGATATGATAACAGCACCAAAATAGTTTCTGAGCTGTATAATAAATAGTTGTATAATACTAAAATAGCTGAGCAAGAAGAGGAAGTTATATTGAGAGTTACTGAAAATCCAGCCATAAGTACTGCAACAGGCGTAAGTCAGCCTGCGGTTTAAGGGGGCCAAGTGGCACATCGTTTTAAAATGCTACCAAATTTCGACCAAAAATCAAAATTTCACATGCGTGTTTTTTAAGCTCAATCGATTTCTTTTGACGCAAGAAGGTCACAGATGTGAATGTATACAGTGTTTGGGTCAATAATAAGGAAGAAATCGTCGGTTGAAGATCATGAATGCTCAAAAAACGCTTAAAATGTGCCGAAAATGTATATTATTTCGGATCTGAAACTTCCAGCATATTTTTGAATGAGTTCGAATGTTTTTCGATGGACTCCTCGCGTCTGTGAGCTGAAAATGATGAAAATGATGTAAAATTTAAAACATTTTGAGAAAATTTTAATTTTTCCAAAAAATCAACCCCCACATTTGGAAATATTTCGACCAAAAATTAAAATTTCACATGCGTGTTTTTTTAGCTCAATCGATTCCTTTAGACGTAAGAAGGTCACAAATGTACATTTATGAAGTGTTTGGGTCAATAATAAGAAAGAAATCGTCCGGTAAAGATCGTAAACTCTCAAGAATGAGCCAAAATGTCTATTATTTCGGATCTGAAACTTCTAGCATGTTTTTCAAAGAATTCGATGCATTCCTCGCGTCCGTTAGCTGAAAATGATGTAAAATTTAAGACATTTTGAGAAAGTTTCCATTTTTCCAAGACATCGTTTTTTGAGCTCAATCGATTCTTTTCGAAGTAAGAAACTCACAAATATGCATTTATAAAGTGCTTGGGTCAACAACAAGGAAGAAATCGCCGGCTAAAGATCGTGAACTCTCAAAAAACGCTTAAAATGTGCCAAAAATGTATATTATTTCGGATCTCAAACTTCTAGCATGTTTTTCATCAATCAACCCCCACCTTTGGAAAAATTTCTACCAAAAATTAAAATTTCACATGCGTGTTTTCTTAGCCCAATCGACTCCTTTCGATGTAAGAAGGTTACAAATATGCATTTATTAGGTGTTTGGGTCAATAATAAGGAAGAAACCGTCGGTTAAAGATCGTTAACGCTCAAAAAATGCTTAAAATGTCTATTATTTCGGATCTGAAACTTCTAGCATGTTTTTCAATGAGTTCGATGCATTATTCGCGTCCATGAGCTAAAAATTATGTAAAATTAAAGATATTTTGACAAAATTTTATTTTTTTTTTAAAATCGACCTCTACCCTTAGCAAAATTTTGGCCAAACATCAAAATTTCACAAGCGTGTTTTTTCAGCTCAACCGATTCCTTTCGGCGTAAGAAGCTCACAAATATGCATTTATAAAGTGTTTGGGTCAATAGCAAAGAAGAAATCGTCGGCTAAAGATCGCTAACGCGTAAAAAAACGCTTAAAAGGTGCCGAAAATGTCTATTATTTCGGATCTCAAATGTCTAGCATGTTTTTCAATGAGTTCGATGCATTCATCGCGTCTGTGAGCTGAAAATGATTTAAAATTCGAGACCTTCGAAAAAAAACATATGGGAAAATTTCGAACAAAAATCAAAATTTCACAAGCGTATTTTTTTAGCTCGATCGATTCCTTTCGACGTAAGAAGGTCACAAACATGCATTTATAAAGTGTTTGGGTCAATAATAAGGAAGAAATCGTCGGTTAAAGGTCGTGAACTCTCAAAAACGCTTAAAATGTGCCAAAAATGTGTATTATTTCGGATCTGAAACTCCTAGCATGTTTTTCAATAAGTTCGATGTATTCCTCGCGTCCGTGAGCTGAAAATGATGTAAAATTTAAGACATTTTGAGAAAATGCAGTCAATTACCGAAATTTTCCGTATTGTTTGAGAGGAGTTCGAAAACAGACTTTGTTGTTGTTTGCGGGAAAATGGGTTTTATTGTAGAAATTTCTCTAGGGCAAAGAAAAGTTATTTTTCTCGAAGTAAAATAATCAATAAATAAGAAATCAATTGTTTAAACTGGATTTTCTTCCTCTTATTCAACGATTTAAACGGCGTAACCTACTATTCTAATAATTTGTACTATAAGGAGACCCAATGCAATAATTTTTGTGTAAACACTAACTTGAAGACCCAAATCTCATTGCAGGCAAGTTTAATTGTTTCTGCAACTTTGAATCGCGACTGTTCGGAAAGCTATGGACTAAAATCAACAAGGATACCACTGGAAAGGGACTTTTAAGACGATGTGCCCCATTTCCATTTAAGATTCTAAGGGAGACATATTGGATTGCTTTTGCCAATGATTCATATGAAGATTTAACAAAAAAGCAGAAAGACTTATTATTTTTCGACATCCAGTTCAGAATTCGTACGAATGACTTCGGATCTAGTGGATGAGCTTCATCCAGTACTTTGGAATGAAATTGGTTCATTCGCTCTTTTTCGGCAGGATTTCTGATGAATGCAGTTCGGCCATAAATTTCCATTCATTTTAAGTGGAGATTTTAATGTTGATTTTTTTCGTTCTGATTAGAGTAGAGCGCCAAATTTAATGCAATTGTTTAAATCAAAGTTACAATTCAGGATGATAAACAATCCAGAACAAGCTGCAATCGAGCAGGATAAAATAGTGTCACAATTCGCTTCTTATTACAGTTATCATAAACTAAGTGTCACGTTTGTAGGATTAGATAATAATTATTCCGACACTCTAACAGTAGCTTTCATTGGTTGACAATGCTTGGTCAGCTGAACGAAAAATTCCAGCTGAGGACACCTGCAAGGCTGGAAGTCAGCCTTCGCAATCAGAAATAGCCAATAATATTTGTATCTGTTGATTCATCAGCAAAGTGAGCATAAGTTCACGCCTGTCCTTGTAAATATAGTGTTTGCGATTTGTGGGCTTTTTATCCCGAAAGTGAAACACCTTAGCGCGTCCCTCCACAAATCGGTTGGACAGTAGCGAAAACGCTTCGTATACGAGTTGAATAAGTCATGTTTGCGCTCGTGATAGGCATTGGTAATAAATTCGAGACAAAATATTGGATTGCAGGATACAAAAATGGAATCTTAAACCGCTAATTATTGTTTAATTCTATCACGCGCGTTGTAAAACTAGTTTTACTTTAATTCATGGGAATGTGACATGGTTGTTAATTCACTAATCGCACCAGAATGTACTTACTTGACACAGAATAAGTCACAACCTTAATTCATCACATGTAGTCAATTTATAAAAAGCATACCGTGTTTCTGTCACAAAGATAAAGCAAGTTTTGCGTGGATTCCTTCGGTTACGGAATGCAAAACTTAAGGAAACCCCCCGTACCAAGACACGCTGATGGCATTCAGTCCCATAAAATGCCAAATTACCATAAATATAATACCGAATGAGGTAAAATGGCGTGTCTTTTCAAGTTTCATTTCAATCTTAATAGGGGTAAAATGGATTTTCTAATTAAACATCAGTTTCCTGTCTTTCCGGAGACAACCTGCTGAAAAAATTCATTAAACTGACTTAAATCCGGAAAAACGCTGCTTTTTAGAAAGCAATCAAATTCCACTGGAATGTTCAGTCAATCATCAATTGAGTTAGTTTAATGTTTTCAATTGGGCATTGTGCAAGCCTTTATTTATTTTAATATACCTATAGGTATGTAAAAATTGTCTAGAATGAGACCTTCTCAAATGAAAAGCAAACGGTCGCAAAACTAGCATGAAACAATGTTCAGTTTTACTTAGATATCTCCTATTTTGTCAAAACAGCAAATGCAAATATTTTATGTAGAGTTGACACGAAATTCTAGTTTTGCGAGCCGATTGCGTGTTAGGTCAATCAAAGCCATTTTATTAACTAACTTGCTTGATCAGACTTGCTAAATATTTAATTTGCCTTTGTTTCCAGCTAATTAACAATACTTACTCGGTGCTACCGCTTGAGGTCCATTTACAATTAGTTAGGAAAGGAAATAACCAGATAATTTTTGTCAGGCAATTAGTAAATTTACATTTTCTCGGTCACTTGTTATATTTTCCGTGTTTCTTCATTACATTACTTAAAATAACATTATCATTTAGAAGGCGCAAATCAGTCGCTTTAATTGCTATTGCCGATTCTTTAGAACAACGCGTCACGTTGCTTAGACAATTGCAATTAAAATGCACACTTTTCTGCTAATTTACTTTAAGACTTATATAATGGACTACAGGTCCGCATTTTGTTCTATTCCTTTGATGTGCAGGGTCTGAGGTCCGAGGAGCGATGAGCGACCTCCTAATGTAGGGAACTGGAAAAAGTAGAAAATCAGTTCCAGATCTTCTGATCTGTTTGGCTCTTTAGCGAAAAACAAAACAATCGTGATGGAATTTGGCAAATACACGATTTTCCAATGATGCCAGCCAAGATCGAGAGTGTATGTAAAAATAAAAAATTCCAGTTGGGTATTTATGTACAGTAAGTTGCACGGTGTAGTTTCATGGAGCAGGCTGTGCTGTGTTACATCGTGGTACTTCAACTGTTAAGCAACAAACGAGAAATTTTTGAGAGGGGAGGTGACGTGACCGGTGGAATACCTACCTGTTCAGCATCACCCCTCCACTGGTATGGTTACCTTGTTCTTACCATGTTCTCGCTTTTATCCCATCTGCACACTGCAGTACCATAACCAAGGTACTTATAACTGTTTTCGTATTCAACACGCTGGCCAGTGGTTTTTGACTGAAATCATGGGCAAATGTTTGAACTTCCTGTGTAAAAAGCACCCAGTTTGTCCCAGCTCATCCTTGTGTTCGAAATGTTTGTTGTGAGAGAACTTCCGGGATTTCAGTTGAAAGTTTAAAGTGACCCCAAGCTGTTTACCAGAAGGAATCTATTACCGCCAAGCCAGGTAGGCAAATGGGTTTGAATTCGTGTGTGACGGTTCTTTTGCATATTTGATCGCAGCTATTTAATGACCAAATATTCACAAGGGCACTGACATTAGGCAGGTAATAGCGGCTTTTCCTATTTCAAACACACCTGTCCTTCTTCGACGTTCACATAAGTATGCAGACAGTTATCACCCAGTATTCCATTTAAATAGCAATTCTTCTATTTCCATATGTGCTTTTATTATAATACGGATTATTTTATAAAAATCGATCAAATATTACCGAGAATAATTAAATTAAATGAAACAAAGTGATGAACATATGCAACGTTCTTATGGACTGCAATTCTCATGTTTTCCGATAAATGGTGATTTCAAATCAATTTTGAGAATTAATCTACTCAATGAAGCATTGAACGAAGGAAGAGCTCTGGCGTAAATGCTACTTCAAATATACCTGATATTGACCCAAAACTATATTCTTGGAAGGCACAGTTTTGAAAATTATTCGCGTAGGTAGGTTTATTTTGGTGCCCATGTAGCAAATTTTTCTCATTTTCGTATATCTACCTAACTGGAAAGTTGGTATCGAGATTCTGCGACAATTTATTCTCTTCCACAAACAAGCTGATAATTACTGTGTGAATTTTTGCTTGAAAGCACATACCTCTGAAGTGACTAATAACAATAATATGACCTTCCCAAGTAATAAGCCTCAATGTTTAGTATGTAACTGCTTTCCCAGCATAATTCATAGTAAAATCAACAGTAACTATTTGCGATGCAAACCGGATAGATACATCATGGCAGCCAAATGCATAGATGCTTTTTTTCAATTGAATTAAAGAAAATTGATCACTTTTATTGATTACGTTGATTTATTTCCTTTGAACCCGTCAGTGCGTTGAAATTGTACTAATCACTTCCAAGCTTCTTTAAATTCTTAATAGTCCATAAGATTAATGTTTAATTGAAAGCCGCGTGCGGAATAAATATTAAAACAGACTTTGGCAAATTTAATGTTTATCATCTGAAATTCAGCACTTACTTAATGCATTTGGAAATACGTCTTGTACATATTTACACTCTATCTGTATTTTTACGCCGTTTTGAACTTTTTGGCTGCTATTGGAATACGCGAAAAATAGATGTTCCCTAATCAAACATCCATACTTTATCTGAATTTATTTAAAACTGAAAGCTGTCGGCACCAATAGATTATTTGAATCCAACGAATGAAATCCTTAATTGAAGTGTGTCAGTGCTTCATATTATTGATAAGACTGAGTGAAATGGTGTAATGTTTGTTTTTCTGATTATGTTAACTTAAACAAAACTTTATTATAACATTCTATGCAACGAGCGAAATTTTCTATACATTTCTAAGTAGTCTGTTCAATCCTGATCAGAGTTTATTTTTAAGTGAACATTTGCAGCGTATTTTTAGAATTATCAATGATTCAGATTAACATTGTGCAGATTATCTTAATTCGTGACCATTATGGACGTTATTCTTCTGTCTGCTTGTAGGTAAGTGTTCTTCAACGTGCATTTCAAAGCTCGGTTTTATTTCATTTTGTCAACATGGACGCGACATAAATTATTTAATCGGGCACAATCAATAGGGCCAAACACGTTTCCATTAGAAGCTTTGGCCAGAAAACTTGGTGAACGATTTTTGTTACTAATTCGAAACGAATTCACTGTAGTTCATGTGCGTTGATTTATATTTACCAATTTTCCAAACGTATTCATCAAGGTTGCAAAATTGAATTTTGCCAAACAATCATAGAAACTGACACGGGATTTGAACACGAATGACTTGCACCTTCGGAGGATTTTAGCTCAAGAGCGAAACGTTGGAAAGATATTATTTTCCTCGTCGGCCTAGAATTCCAAAAAATTGACGAACTTCCGGCAAAAGCTTAACTCTTTTGATAAACACCGCATTCCGTTCACTGCCTAGGCCTAATGTAAAGTAGCAAAAGGAGCATGTTAGAAGCAATAATAATTATGAAATTATTCAGAACTTGTTAGTTCCAGTTATAAATTTTCGGCATTTTACGCACTCTAAACATTTCTAACTGTACCTACTAAATTCCGATTTCATGGCTAATTGCATATCTTTTAGGATTTTTACGATTTACTCATTAAGAAAACTTTCTACTATCGGCAGCTTCTATTAGAACAAATTGGCCTCGTCGCCAATCGGATCTTTAAACGTAATTTGATTTAGCTTAAAACAGCGGCAGGAAATATTGGAAAATCGAAACACCGTAACGAGGAAAGTCGTTTCCATGTGAACCACGTTGTATTGAATCCCAGCGCTGCTAAAATCGAATCGGACTTTCAGAGTTTCGAAAAAAGGAAAAAATAAAATTACACCTTGAATCGTAATAAATGCCCATTCGAACGAAGCGAGTAGGGAAACGACGACAACCCTTGAGTCGTGGGGGTGAGAGCCAAATGTGTGCGCTCTCATTTTCTCTTAGGTCTTCGTAGCGTGCTCTTTTTCTCTGACCCTATACGAAAAAGTTCAAGCTTATAAACCAGTCAGAATAGGCATTCAGCCGTTCAAAATCATCCTCATTCCTCTAGTTTCGTACAAAGAACGAAGGAATTTTAGACGATATTAAAATTAGTAACCGAGACAACGATATCCAGACATTGTTCTAAAACCTGTTGGTGATCGATCGGAAGAGCTTTTCATAGGTTTCTTGCGTGAAGTTTACTTGCTTCCTTGAGCATTATTTTTCAATATATATTGGATTCGGAAGGGCAAACGCTCAAACATACAGAAGAATTCTCCCGGGTAGGCATATAGAAAATGTTTCCGGTTCATTTCTGCATTTTACTGGACTATGTTGAGCACGCAAGCGCGTTTTGAAACCGGCAGTGAGGATCCAGATATTATTTTTCTTGGCCCTATATTGAAATATTGTCTTTCTTTAGTGGTAGCCCTAAAAAACCGGACATCCGCATACGGCTTGTTTCCCGTTGCTTCCCTGCTTAGTGCTCCCAAAATGTCCCGTTTGCCCAAAAAATCGTCCCGATTGCTGTAGAGACATGGTGACCTAATTAGTGCTGGGTTTTTAAAAATATGTGCTTTTTGATTAATGCGGTATAAGAAAAATTACGAGCTGTAGTGATTGTCTGAAACTCTAATCATGTTTTCCTGTTTGTGGCAGATTTGGGAATGGTAAGCATGTTTCATTTAGACATGTAAATCAGTTTGTATAATAATTAGCGAGTGTCGGTTCGTAAAACGTAGGACTTCATGTGAGCCACTTTCCTGGCAGATAATTTTCCATAACGATTTTCACTCAATTAAAATTCCCGCCAACTTTGGGTCATTTTACGATTTGCGACAAAACTCACATCAAACGCAGCTTTGAAAAAAATAATATCTAAATTACCTGTATGTAGGTACTTATAAAGAGAGTAAAAATTCGACTCATAATTTTCTGCTTCAAATATGCAGCTACTAAAAATAGGTACTACTCTCCAATTGATATCCTCAATGGCCCCAATATAGAAATATTAACACGTCGATTACTATGTTAAAATAATATTATTGTTTGGATTTGGATATTATTTTGAAACCATTTGGTTTGCTTGCGTTGTCGATGCAGCCTAAATCTGTTTCATATGCAATGAATTTTAAATTTAAATAGTCTCGGAGAAACTGGGTGTGCTATTTCTGCAAAAAAATAATATTTTGTGAACAGAGTCAAGTGGGTAGTCATTAGAGCGGCTTTTGAAATATCCCTCGATGTTGAAAAGGCCTATTTGGCTCATAAACAATTCGAAAGTGGTCATTAAAACATGTTTTCATCTTAGAGACAAAGACCACACTTTCAACTCAAGTGGCGTCTTGAATGTATACAGTTGTTTATAAGGCAGTTTTCCTCTGTCGGGCGATATTAGTTTGCGGAATGAAATGCTTAAGGTAAAATGGTAAACACTGGTTCTCGACCATTAGGAGTCAATCAGCATAACATGACCGATTCAATTGAATGCTACTTAAACTGTTTTTAACTAAATGCTATTCATTACTTTCTCTTGACTAACTGTTCTGTTATCTTGGAAACCTCAATACATGTAAAACACTACAAATTACCGTCTATTGTTTGAAACTGTTGGGTAAAATGTCCCATTGTTTTGATTTCAAATATATAATGGCCACATATGCTCTCAGAATTAATTAGTACGTCTCTGACTGAGTCGTTGATGTAAAGTTATTACGAAATAGTTACTTATTGTCTAACGATCGTGTTTATTTCTAGGATTGATCCCAACAAAATGGACAAAGTAAAAAAATTTCAAGGATTCGAAAATGCGTCCGCAACAAATCAGAACATACCAAACAATGACTCGAACTTGCAACAAATTCATCAGCATAGTACGGCCCCCCACTATTATCCGATGGTACACCAACATCCCCAAATGTACAACAACAGTCACCCTCACCCCATTCAGTCGCCTCTGCTCCTAAACATCAACAACCAGCAAGTGTTGCACACCACAGTGCATAGACATTTCCAGCATTATCCGCAATATGGAGTCAACATTAACTCGAATGAATATGTTCATCAACACATGCCCAGATCTAACCCTCAGCCACCCTCACAGATTAATAACCCCCTACGGACACCACAACAGCACATGGAGACTTCAAACAACAACACCATCTCACAAGGTGGTTTTCCACCAGAAACACCAAAGCAGGAACTGAGTAAAGATGCTCAAGTAAAAGCTTTAACACCAAAGTCGAGAGCTAAAGAAGCAGAGAAGAAACAGCTAAGATCGCCATCAGCAAGAAGACCTGCCAATGCCCCGGTGGCATTTCAAGGGTGGCTGCATAAGCAGGGTTCTGAAGGCCTGATGCTATGGAAGAAGCGGTGGTTCGTTTTGTCTGAATATTGCCTGTTCTATTACAAGGGTTTGTATGATACACTCAGATGTGATTTACAGTAATGACAGGAAATTTTTTGTAGGACTACAAGAGGAGAAAGTTTTAGGTTCTATTTTACTTCCATCATACAAAGTGTCGGTGTGCGGCCCAGACGATAAAATCAATCGAAAATTTGCATTTAAATGTGAACACGCCAATATGCGTACATACATATTGGCTGCTGATTCGCAAGATCTCATGATGCAATGGATTCATGTGCTGAATCTGGCTTGCAATCTCCAAAACAACTTGTAAGTCAAATGCCATTCCCATCTATAGATAATAATATTGCTATTTTCCAGAGAACCATCCAAAGAGCAACAAATGGCACAAAGCGCGGAACCCAACAGTTACAAAAGTAATACTCCTGCAGGACAAATTAACGCATTTTACGGCAATCATATGAAGGCCAGCCATGTGCATGAGCACACATCTAGTAACATAACTGATTTGAGCAACTCTAGTCAGCAAGAGCTGAGCCAATGCAACCAGCCCCTGTATGCAAATGCGCCCCCTAAACCGAGAAGATTGACTGATGGATACTGTTCGCCAGGTCCAGAAATATTGGAGACATACTCAAGCTATCAAGGATCAAGATGTGATGCCAAAAGCCCCTCGAATGCTTACCGAAGATCATTGAACCCGCATGAATACATTTACAGCGACAGATTATTTTTAGGTCCACAGAATGTTGATAGGAGAACGCCAGATACCTACGGCCGGAGCAATTTAACAAAGTACCGAAACCCTTCGGACTATGAAGACGTATATACTGAGCAAAGCGCTTATAAACGACCGTTGAGCCCTGTAGCAGCTGACAATGTGCTCAAAAAGGGATACCCCACAGTCAATGTAGGCTACCCTGTAGTAAAGGGCTATGCTCCGCCTCCTATTGATATGACCTTAAAACCTCACTATTCAGCTGCAGTTTCAATGAGAAGAACACCAGTTCCAACCATATCCAGGCCGCACAGTGCAGACTTTTTAGAATATAAACCTTATAAAATTGAAACTGTTCCGTCCGCGGCTCCCGTATCTCAACAAGCCAGGCCGAAATCCAGCCTGGATATTAACATGTACTCCAAAGACTGCGGTCCAGTGACCAGGTCCAACAGCTACTATGTTGATTCGCAGGAACTTCAAAGAGACAACGATTACTTTTATTCCCAAGAAACGTATGCTGAAAAAATGAGGAAAAGTGCTCAATACCTTCAGAAAATGCCGGTCAACTATCATCCCGTCGATTCTAGTCACAGACAACATAGAGACAGATATAATTTAGACATGCCAAATTCCTATACATACAACCAGCCCTTTAGAGAGCAAGAAGCCAAGCTTCAGCCCGTTAGAAGTAGGAGCGCGTTGAGTGAGGGATCGTTGCTTTGCGCCCAAGACATCGAAAATGATACAATTTCTCGGGATTATGTCTTGGGACCTGAGCAAACTCTTGGTGTTGTGAAAAATGCAGCTCAAGATCAGTTTACTAGATCCGCCAGTGCCCGCCTGTCGCAGAATAACGCATTTGAGGAAAATGTTACCAGAATTGAAGGAGAGCGAAAGGTCAGAAATCTTTCATTTTAAAGCATGTAAAATTGGAGCATTGTAATCAATTCTGCCGCCAAATAGTAGGGATTTCCGCCATTTTTCAGAGAGAAGAATCAATGAAAAGGCTGCTGGAGTGGAAACAACGAATGCTTCAGTCGCCTTTGAACAGAAAAGCGCAAGCTCAAGCCTACCGAGGATACCCAGTCGGCAAAGAAAATCCGCAACTGCTTCAAAACTACAATTCCGACAAAAAGCAGAAAAAATCTTCAATTACAAACAGACGTTCTGTGCATAACTTAGTCCAATATAATAGCTATTCCTCCGACGATGAAGGTACGTGCACATTTTCTATAGATTGTATAGGTTGTATATCACTTATCATTAGATAGTCGTCCATAAAGACAGTATGATAATTTATTGAGTGGCTTTAGGACTGAATCCTTTTTGTTTAGAATATACTTGGTGTCGGTTCTTTGGGAGTAGTCTCTATAGGTCCTTCCTGCCTGAAAACTTATCTACCTGTAACTAACACTTCAAAATAACCCTCATAACTATTACTAACAGTTTAATAAAAGTTCAGATGGCAATGGACTACTTCTTGATGTAAATTTTTTATGGGCTCAGAAAATGGGGAGAAATCAAGCAAGCACACACAGGCAGGACGGACCATGGACACATTTCCGAATAATTCTGACTCACTTACACATGCATCACTCACTTCTACCACTGCTTTGAACCCCCCTGATGAGCCTGCTACATCCACATCTATCCCCACTAACCAAGAAGATGCACTTCCTGAACCTTCTCTTGCACAAATATCCATATCAGAGGAGTTCACTGATTCTATTATAACAACTGACATTAGATCTAGTGGTGCACTGGTACAAGCCATTCTATCGGAGTTTCAAAGTCCTGCTGTGAAGAAGCAGCCCATTTTGGAAGGAAATTATGTGCCCATGTCGCCGAAAATTAGTGTTTTGCAATCAAATTGCGACACCGACACACTTCCAGGCCTTGGCAACGATTCTGAAGAGAATCATTACGTTGAAATGACAAGGACCATAGACAGTGTGCTTATGGAGTCAACGAATGACTTTGATTGCAATGATCAGCAACAATATGAGATGGTTTGCTTCAGTGGCGAGAAAATCGAACCGGTTTATATGGAAGTTCCGGAGGGTACACAACAGGATAATGCGACCGGACATAATGAGCTTCCTGATATTTTGAAAAGCCCCACTTGCCAGCAAACTCAGGAAAACAAGTCTGATAGTAGCGATGCCGATGACGAAGCTTCGAAAGATTTAGATTTGTCTGAAAATCCGAATCATCACAGATTTAGTCTGTCAGATACATTCAGACCAGCATCTTATTACTTGGGTGTTAGCAAAACTATTCCAGAATTTCAGGATAGCTCTGACAGTGAATTGGTGTCGCCGCCTCCTATACCAGCCAGCTCACCTCCTCTTGATGACGATGATTATATTCCCATTCGCAGCACAAAAGAGAGGCGGAACGTCACTGTTCCTAGAAGAAATTCCGACCAATTTTTCAATAACACTCCGCCTGCTAAGGAAGATAAAGGAAGCTCTGATGTGAGATCGAGCTTCCTGTCCTTGAGAGATCTAAAAGGTCCAGACACATCGCTAGAATGCCATGACACACTTAGTAGGTTATCATCAAACAGCGGGTCGATTTCCTCTCTAACCGCCAACAGCAGAATGCCCGTTTCTGAGGATTTTAGTACTCCTACGGAATATGGCGAAGTTCAAGATATTAAAAGTGTAGAGAAGTATTTCGAAAGACTGAAATTAACAGAAGAAGCAAGGCTAAGCACTTTAGGAGAGGACGGACATGCATATGAGAACTTTTTAATTGCGAAAAACTCGATGCGGCCAGATTTCGCAGAAGTGTCAAACAATGCCAATCCCGTTAAAAAGAGATTTGCATCTCCAAGCTCCATTCCGGACGACTGCAGACCTAGATGTAGACCAGAGAGTAGTTGCTCGGTTTCAGCCGAAATTAGCAGCTTCTTTGTTAATTCAAACAGATCTACTCCAGTTATTGGTGGCATGGATGTTTCCGACCCTCAACTAGATGCTCCGCAAATTGTTCCATACTACTACTCGGATTTATCAGGAACCATTTCTAGTTTAGAAAATTCCCTGACGTTGAACAATCAAAGAGAAAGTATCAATGGGAGTAAGCGCGATATAACTCGCATAATTAATCCCATCAAATGTAACAGACATGAGGAAAGTAGCCTTGATGACCATTTTCCAAATGTTCTAGCAGCGGAAGCACGGTCTGTGTCCGTAGATTTTCTCAACCTTACTGATAAATCCGGAAGCATAGATAAGAAAAACATCTACGAATCGGACACCCTTAAGAGGCACAAATCGCAGGACGCTCAACCTCTCACCAACTGTTTACAATCGAGGAATTTGTTCTTAAACAGAAAAACTAATAAGTATCATCAAGAAACCAGTAACGAAAACATGGTTCGAAAGTCCTATTCCCTAGAAGGACTTCTCGAAAATGTTCTTAATGAAAACACCGTGCACGACTCAACCAATCGAGAAAACTCAGTCTCTGAAGGAAGCTTCTTGTGGGAAGAAGATTCTGTATGGCGAGAACAACTGAGGTCAGTGAGTCAAAGACACACCAAATCTATGGATGACTTAGATACCATAGATGTCGATCAAGACTCTATTCATAAGAAACCTACTAGAGCGATAACTCGGGAAGTAACTTATGTCAACGATATATTATTCAAGTCTAACGACTCTGGCACGAAGAAAGCTGCGAAATCCAAGGTGGAAATTAAAAAGAAGGGAAGCTTTTTGATTGATAGAGAAACATTGAGACAATGGGATCTCATGTCCAGTGCACCATCGGATGATCAGTTGGTTAAGATGGGGGATAGGCAGGGCACTCAGGTTCATGTGGTGGTAGATTCGTGTGAAAGTAGTACCGACACTGGCGATATTGGAAACTGCCAAGAAACAGGTATATCTTTATTTTTATAAGTTCACTAGAATTAGTCAATTAATTAATAGGTTCACTTTTCAAGGTCTCTTAAGCTATTTGAAATTCTGTTCAGAGGTAAAGAAGTTTTTCAGCCGATGTATAAAGATGTAAATATTGCAGACTTCATTTTGATTTATTTTCCTGATTGCGTGTAATTGCTATTATATTCTTCTCCTTCCTGGGTTTCAGACAAAGTGTGAAATAAAAAAAAATCGTTTATTTTATATAACGTTTCGGCGAGACAACAGCGCCATCATC